GCGAATCAGAACATAACACCGACTGTGACGTTACAGTCGGGATCACTAATAGTTACGCCCCCAACATTTTTCATATACCCGCCCCATGTTCTATGCCAGCCGCCAGCCGAATCATCAGAAGTTCTGCAGGTACTGTGAATAAACAAGCGAGGATAATAGCGAAAATGGCAGATCATGGAAATAAATGTTATGTTCCAGGCTGTGCAGGGGATGTGATGTGCAGGGATGGGTTGGTGTCTGTATTCAGAAAGGCACGGAAAACAAATAACGCGAGTCGAGTCGGTAAAATGATCCGAACTTCCCATCACTACTTCCTGCTGTGTGAGCTACTGAAATGAGCCGCAATGTGAAACAGCCAATCAGAGCAGAGCTCAACATTGAGCCGCACTGTGAAACAACCAATCAGAGCAGAGCTCAACATTATTATTCATGACCCTTCCAAATAAGGTAAAAACAGACCATTTCATTCTAGGGACAAATCCTAGGGTTATATATGGATATGAATATATGTACATTTATGCAAAGTTAGAATGACTGAACAATGGTTAGAGCGATAGAACAGACAGACAGACAGACATACAAAACGATAGATTGAATGACAATGATAGAACGATAGACAGCACGATACAATGATAGATAGATAGATAGATAGATAGAGGATAGATAAAACGTTAGAAAGAGATAGATAGATAGATAAAACATTAGAAAGAGATAGATAGATAGATAGATAGATAGAGGATAGATAAAACGTTAGAAAGAGATAGATAGATAGATAAAACATTAGAAAGAGATAGATAGATAGATAGATAGATAGAGCAGCAGGAGTAGTCTATAAGGATAGTCGGTTCTTTCTCTTCCTGTATATGGGCTGAGATGTGGAGGGATATTTAAGGTCTGTTGGACGCAGCAGTATTTCTCTCTCACTTTCTCTCTCTTTCTGCTCTTGGAGAGATTTTTCTGAGCCCCAGTCCGCCTGGATAACACATCTAATCCATCACCTGTGTCAGCTTGAAGAATTCTGGTGTCAGCAAGCCCTCTCTCCCTTTCTCTCTCGCTCTCTGTCTTCTGATGGTTTCTATCAGTGGAAAACAGGCTCTTTTGTTCTCGCTGCTGTACTACAACACTATCTCCCATAACGCATGTGTTACAGCAACAGACTGCTCGGCCCGTGTGTCACTTTCCATCCAGATGCATTTGAGCACTTAAGCAGATCTCAACCTCTCAGGGACAGAGAGAGAAAGCAAGAGAGCGGAATTGAGTAGACACTTTATTCTGACTATGATGCTTAACTATTTGCAGGGCTCAAAAATCATTTAATTTAAATTTAATAATTAGTAATAATTTTTTTTTAATCATTTTGTCTGTTGTCCAGTGAAACATCTCCAAAGAGTTATGTGGAATTAAACACAAGGAACATCGGGAAGGTTTCATTAGTCTGTTTAACATACTCTTGAGCCTATGTGAAGTTCATTATGCAAATAAAGCAATAACATCATAAACT